ACTTTGAACCTGCTGATTTTTCTACTGGTGTTGTGATAAAACTCACTCCTTATGGCATTCTGGCCAAGATTGTTTTTTGTAAGCCTTAAAGGCTTTCAAATTAATGGCTTTACAAATTATAACAGCTGTATAGTAACCAACAAGTTGACACCTTTTACAACTATAAATTTCGGGCCAGGTGCAGTGGCTCACGCCTGTAATGCCAGCACTTTGGGAGGCCAAGATGGGCAGATCACCTGAGGTCAAGAGTTCAAGATCAGCCTGGCCAACATGGCGAAACCCTGTCTCTACTAAAAATACAAAAATTAGCTGGGCGTAATAGCAGGTACCTGTAATCCTAGCTACTCAGGAGATTGAGACAGAAGAATCACTTAAATCCAAGAAGTGGAGGTTGCAGTGAGCCAAGATCACACTACTGCACTCCAGACTGGACAACAGAGTAAAACTCCATCTCAAAAAAAAAAAAAAAAAACAACAACAAACAAAGAACTATACATTTAGATTTGCCTAACAATTGCAAATGATAGTGGAATGCTTAATTGAAAAAATAGTAATCTAAAGGAAAATGAACTAGATAAATGTTTATAAAAGTTAGGCTCTCCGTCGGGTATGGTGGCTTACACCTGTAATCCCGGCACTATGGGAGGCCAAGGAGGGCAGATCGTGAGGTCAAGAGATCGAGACCATTCTGGCCAATATGGTGAAACCCCATCTCTACTGAAAAAACACAAAAATTAGCTGGGCACGGTGGCGCGCGCCTATAGTCCCAGCTACTCGTGAGACTGAGGCAGGAGAATTGCTTGAACCCGGGAAGCGGAGGTTGCAGTGAGCTGAGATTACACCACTACACTCCAGCCTGGCGCCTGGCGACAGAACGAGACTCTGTCTCAAAAAAAAAAAAAAGTTAGGCTCTCACATCAAACAAGTCAAAATCTTGAGTTCACAGCCATGCTATAAGGCATCTCTGTCCAGCATAAAAATTTTACTTTTTCTGCCACACAGAGGCCAATGAGAAAATGCTGGAAAAAATTTGCTAAAATGTTTCCCCTGCTGCATATGCTAATTAAGCAACCAGACTAGCAACCAAAAGATAGATTTGTTACTAGTTCAAGACTACTTGGAGATTTTGTTCTTCTTATACAATTCAGCTATGGTTTTTTTTTTTTTTTTCCAAGTTTCAAAAATATAAACATGGAAAATTTAACCTTAAACTTTAAAATTTAAAAAGGACAAAAAGGGAGTGGGTGTGAAAGAGGTTTTTAAAAATCAAACTGCCATGGAAACTGCTTTCTCCAAAACTTTGGTTCACAGGCTTCATTAGAATACCTACAGGGAAAACAAAGTTAAGCCATATGAATAGGTTCCCATTTTGTCTGAAATATAATTTAGATTCAACTGTCTTTTATAAACCAGTGAGCTTGTGTTACTGTCTCATGAACAAAATTCTAAAATGAAAGCTGTAGGATCTATCTCTTCCTTTCTGTGTGTATTAACCCCAGTGGTGGAGGACTGAAAGCTATTCCTCTAAGATCAGGAACAAGGCAAAAATGACTGCTCTCACCACTTCTGTTCGGCATAGTACTGGAAGTTCTAGCCAGGGCAATTAGCAAGAAAAAGAAATAAAAAGCATCCAGATTGGAAAGGAAGGTGTAAAATTATCTGTTCACATACAGTATGATTTTACATGTAAAAACCCCTACAAATTACACACACACACACACACACACACTCTCTCTCTCTTAGAACTAATAAATGAAGTCGGCAAAGTAGTAAGATACAAAATCAACACACACAAAAATTAGTTGCATTTAAGGGATAAAAGACTAAAGAAATGAATAAATTTTTTTAATTAAAAAATTTTAAATCAGTTGCACTTCTGTACATGAACAATAAATAATACATAAAGGGAAAGTAAGAAAACAACCCCATTTACAATACCATCAAAAAGAATAAAATACTTAGGGATACTCTTACCCAAGGAAGTGAAAGACTTGAACTTTGAAAACTACAAAACGGGCCGGGCGCGGTGGTTCACGCCTATAATCCCAGCACTTTGGGAGGCCAAGGCGGGTGGATCACAAGGTCAAGAGATCGAGACCATCCTGGTCAACATGGTAAAACCCCGTCTCTACTAAAAATACAAAAATTAGCTGGGCATGGTGGTGCGCATCTGTAGTCCCAGCTACTCAGGAGGCTGAGGCAGGAGAATTGCTTGAACCCAGGAGGTGGAGATTGCGGTGAGCCGAGATCGTGCCATTGCACTCCAGCCTGGGTAACAACAGCGAAAATCCGTCTCAAAAAAAAAGAAAACTACAAAATGTTGCAGAAAGAAACAAAAGAAGGCACAGACAAATGTGAAGACTTCCTGTGTGCATGGACTTCAAGACTTTGTATTGTTAAGAAGCCAGTGCTACCCAAAGGGATCTGCAGAGTCAATGCCATGACTATCAAAACCCCAATGACATTTCCTGCAGAAATAGAGAAATTATCCAAAACTAGAGAGAGGTAGGGAAGAAAAGGAAAAAATGTATTCTAAAATGTATCTTTTTTTTGAGACAGGGTCTTGCTCTGTCACCCAGGCTGGAGTGCAGTGGTGCAATCTGGGCTTACTGCAACCTCCACCTCCTGGGTTCAAGTGATTCTCCTGTCTCAGCCTCCTGAGTAGGTGGGATTACAGGTGTGCAATACCACACCTGGCCAATTTTTGTGTTTTTAATAGAGATGGAGTTTCACCATTTTGGCCAGGCTGGTCTTGAACTCCTGACCTCAAGTGATCCTCCCACCTTGGCCTCCCAAAGTGCTGAGATTACAGGCATGAGCCACCATGCCCATCCTAAAATTTATATGGAATCTAAAGAGACCCTCAAATAGCCAAAATAATACTGAAAAAAGAAGAGCAAAGTTGGAGATCTCTTCCAAATTTCAAAACTTATTACAAAGCTACAGTAATCAAACAGTGTGGTACTGGCATAAATACAGATCTCTAAACCAGCAGAATAGAAGAGAGAGACCAGAAATAAACCTTCATGGATATGGTCAAATGATTTCCAACAAGGGTCCCAAGTTATTCAGTAAGGAAAAACAGTGCCTTCAACAAATGGTGACAGGAAAACTGATATCCACATGCAAAAAATGAAGAGGCAATCCTTACAGCATATACAAAAATTAACTCAAAATGGATCAAAGACCCAAATGTAAGATATGAAGCTATAAAACTCTTAGAAGAAAACATAGAGGAAAATCTTCATAACACTGAATTTGGGAATGATTTATTAGATATGATACCAAAAGAACCGGCAACAAAGAAAAAAAATTGGTGAATTCAATTACACCAAAATTTAAAACTTCTGGCCAGGGACAGTGGCTCATGTTTGTGATCCCAGCACTTTGTAAAGCCGAGGCGAGTAGATCACTTGGGGCCAGGAGTTCAAGATAGTATGGCCAACATGGTAAAACCCCGTCTCTACTAAAAATACAAAAATTAGCTGTGTGTGATGTCATGAGTGTAATCACAGCTACTCAGAAGACTGAAGCAGAAGAATCACTTGAACCCAGGAGGTGGAGGTTGCAGTGAGCGGAGATCACACCACTGCACTCCAGCCAGGTGACAGAGAGTGACTCTGTCTAAAAAAAAAGAAAGAAAGAAAGAAAGAAATTAAAAATTTCTATGCATCAAAAGACAAAAACAATAGAGTAAAAAGCAATCCACAGAATGAGAAAAAAATCCTTATAAATCATATATCCTAGAAAGTATTAAAAGCCTACAACACACTAACAAGACCAAAAACCCCAATTCAAAAATGGGCAAAGAATTTGAATAGATATTTCTCCAAAGAAAATATTACATTGCCAACAAGAGCATAAAAAGATGTTTTTCATCACTAATCATTAGGAGAATGCACATCAAAAACACAATGACATGCCACTTCATACCCATTGGGAGGACTATGATGAAAAAAGCACAGATAACAAGTGTTGATGAGGACGTGGAGAAATTGGATAGCTTGTGCACTGCTGGTAGCAATGTAAAATGTTACAGTTGCTATGGAAAACAGTATGGCAGCTACTGCATAAATTAAAAATAGCTGGGGCATGGTGGTGTGCCTATAGTCCCAGCTACTCAGGAGGCTGAGACAGGAAGATCACTTTGGTCCAGGAGCTCTGGGCTATAGTGCCCTTTGCCAATCAGTTGTCCACACTAAGTTTTGCATCAATATGGTGACCTACTAGGAGCAGGGCACCACCAGGTTTCCCTAGTATCAGTGAACGATCCCCCATTGGAAATGGAGCAGGTCAAAATTCCTGTGTTGATCAGTAGTGGGATTGCACCTGTGACTAGCCACTGCACTCCAGCCTTTGCAACATAATGAGACCTCTTAAAATAACAATAACAAAAAAAAAAGTAAAAATAGAATTACCATATGATCCAGCAATTCCACTTCTATGTATATACCCAAAAGAATTGAAAGCAGGGTCTTGAAGAGATATTTGCACATCCATGTTCATAGCAGCATTATCCAAATAGCCAAAAGGTGAAAGGATCCCAGTGTCCCTCCATGGATGGATGAATAAAATGCAGCACATACATACAATGGAGTATTACTCGGCCTGAGGAAGGAAAATGTGACACATGCTACAATATGGATGACTCTTTAAGACATGATACTAAGTGGAATAAGCCAGTCACAAAAAAACAAACACTGTATGATTTCATTCATATGAGGTACTTTGAGTAGTCAAATTCATAGAGACAGAAAGTAGAATGGTGATTGTCAGGGGCTAGGGGAGGGAGGACTGGGGAGGTATTGTTTAATGGGTACAATGTTTCAATTTTGCAAGTTAGAAAAGTTCTGGGGTTGGATGCGGGTGATGGTTGCACAGCAATGTGAACGTACTTAATGCCACTGAGCTATACACCTGAAATGGTTAAAATAGTAAATTTTATGTTATGTATATTTTAACACTGTGTTTAAAATAAATCCTTAAAATTTACTTTAAGAGGCTCGGCACAGTGAGTCACACCTGTAATCCCAGCAACTTCAGAGACTATGGCAGGAGGATTACTTGAAGCCAGGAGTTTGAGACCAGCCTGGGCAACGTAATGAGACCCCATCTCTACAAACAAATTTTAAAAAATTAGCCAGGTGTGGAGGTGGGCACCTGTGGTCCCAGCTACTCGGGATGCTAAGGCAGCAGGAAAGAGTTGGAAGCTGCAGTGAACTATGACTGAACCACTATACTTCACCCTGGGCAACAGAGCAGACCCAGTCTCCATGAATGAATGAATAAATAGCAAAGGATGACACAGTCTTCCATGCTGCACAACTACAGGGGCTTCCATTTTTACATAGTCTCCCTAGAGTTGGTTGACCTGGTGACCCTGAAGCCCAACTCTCCTACCTATGACAGACATTGCTAATCAATCACAGGGTCTACTCATCCAAGATGGCTCTCAGAATCTTTCTCCATATGGGACCCCAGACAACCCCTGCTGATTCCTCAGAGTTGACTTGTGACATGCCTAGTATTTCCCATCATTATCTCAAACAATGACCTCCCGAAAAAAATCTGGCAAAGAGAGCTGGGGACACAGATATAGCAGACCTGCTCATTCTTTTAATGGAAGGGGTATGCATTGTTGCACCTTACAAGCCTGTGAGCCCAGAGAGATTTCAAGTTGAACATTAAGTTGGTTTTCTTTGAGTTCATAGTGGCCCTCAATAAAGCCACGGGAATGGCAGCTGTGCCATCGCCAATAGACCTGGATGATGCGGACGGCGTTGAGCAAACGACAGTAACGCCGGCAGACACGCCACATGCGGACCCAGGACTGCAGCCTGACTGCTGCCCACTCCCGCTGCACGTAGATCTCCAACACCATCCTCTGTCTCTTTGCCAGCAGCTTCGCCAGCACCTGCCTCCACCAGCACTGAATGATCCAAGCCCTGAGGGCTGCATGCAGCAGCGTGCGTCGCACCAGCGTGCCCCGCCACCAGGCCTGGATGAAAACAGCCGCTGACCTTTCTGTCATGATGATCTTCTCTTTTGGACCTTACAAGAGAAAACAGAGAACACTCAGGGTATGCCAGGAAGGGTCCCTGATCCTCTATCAATGATGGAAGCTCAGCACGGGGCGGGACAACAGCTGAACCCAGGATACCAGGCAGGTGTTCTCCCTCTACCACCCACAGGTTAGTGGATGTGCTCACCTCACCTTGACCTCTGAGTCCCAGTGTCCCCATCTGCAAAATAGATGTACATCTGCCCTAGCTACCTCACCTCATTTTCCTTGGACCTTGCTGGCCAGTCTAGAGCAAGAACACTGTGACTCTGAGGTAAAAGAGCTACCATCTACCTGGGATCCATGCCTCTTCCCTTCAGAGCCCTCCCACCTGCCGGAGAAGTGGTGTCCTTTGCTCCCCTGCCCTCTTTACTCTGACTTCAGGTCAAACCCGCAAGCTGCTGTGTTCCCTCCTCCTCACCAAAGCAGTAGCAGATTCCTCCGCCTCACACACATGGTGAACAGCTTGAACTTCAGCTGTGCATACATCAGTACAAACATGGACACTCCACACACTAACATACATTTTAATTCCTGCCCCTTGGTCCCTGCATTCCCCACAGTCCCCACTTGCAGCCCCAGCCCCGTGTGTTCTGGGATCACACTCCTCTGCCCTGCTCCTTGCCACAATCTCCGCTCTGTATCTCAGCCAGACTCACATCTCTCTGCCTGACAAGAAATTGGGGGAAAGAGACAGCCAATCCCCGTTCATTCCAGCTCTGCATACGCTGATGTTTCATCCCAGTTTTTCTGGGACACCCTGATTGATGTCAGGTAATAAGGACAAATGCCCATTTCCCTCAGTGAAATAAATTACAATAAATTACAGGGCCATAGATCTTTGACTCACTCTGCTGGACCACAAGGGTCAGAGATGTCACTAGTTAATGCTCTCTGGACCCAGCTACTCTCAGAGTTGGGTGTAAGCGCGTGGCCGGGTGGGGGTGAGGGTGTTGGCAATGGAGTCACTTCCCTCTTCTCCCCTTTGTTCCTTCCAGCTCTGTTCTATCGTTGTGATTTCATCATTATCTTTGATGATCATTGAAAACAGCTTGCTATCCTTCTGGAATCAGAGTATATGGGGAAAAATAGGGGAGAAAGGAAAAGGTACTGTCCCGACTGCTAGGTGCCAAGTCAACCACGGTTCTCACTGTTTCTAGATTCAGCTTCCTGGCTTCCTCTAGGACTTCAGACATAGAGGGGGTCCTGTCATAAGTAACTATGGGGAATTTACCCCCTCCTCAGAAAGCGAGTGTGGTTCTGACTGCCTCTTACAAAACATCTAATTGGGGACAGGTGGTAAAATCCCCACAGGTCTGCCCTTTACTAAATTACCCATGGCTAGGGGCTAGATGGTTCCATCACCCTCCGGTCCGCACTCCTCTGATCACCACTCCAGTAGGAAGAGTGGAGGAGGGGAGGGATCTGTGATGTCATAAGGGCACCTGTGATGCAGGCACCAGGATGGCTTCCAGCATATGAGACTCTTCTAAGAAAAACCTATGCTGGGTGTGGTAGCTCATGCCTGTAATCCCAGCCCTTTGGGAGGCCAAGGTAGGTGGATCACCTGAGGTCAGGGGTTCAAGACCAGCCTGACCAATAATGGCGAAACCCTGTCTCTACTAAAAATTCAAAAATTAGCTGGGTGTGGTGGCAGGCACTGTAAGCCCAGCTTACAGCTTGAATTTACAGCTTACAGGAGAATTGCTTGAACTCGGGAAGTGGAGGATGCCATGAGCTGAGATCACGCCACTGCACTCCAGCCTGGGCAGTAAGAGTGAAACTCCATCTCAAAAAAAGAAAAAACTTCTGGCAGGGTGTGGTGGCACAAGCCTGTAATCCCAGCACTTTGGGAGGCTGAGGCTGGTGGATCACAAGGTCAAGAGATCGAGACCATCCTGGCCAACACGGTGAAATCCCGTCTCTACTAAAAATACAAAAATTAGCTAGGCATGGTGGTGCGCACCTGTAGTTCCAGTTACTCAGGAGGCTAAGGCAGGGGAATCGCTTGAACCTGGGAAGTGGAGGTTGCAGTGAACTGAGATCGCACCACTGCACTCCAGCCTGGTGACAGAGTGAGACTCCGTCTCAAAAAACAAACAAAAAAAGAAAACCTAGAAGACCCCAAATACTAACGCATTGACCTAAAGGGGTATAATGCTGCTCATTAAAATCTGGCTGGTATTCGTTAAATGGCTTTCAGTTCCTTTAAACACTGGTATTCCAAATAACTATTAGAATGGGTTTGCTCTCTATGTACAGATATAGAAAAGTACAAGATTTAGTAAGTGAAACAAATCACGATGAAAGGCAAGGTGATCCCAATATAAGCACACATTAATACATGTGTGTTGGAAGAGGGGGAGTAGGAGGATGTACACAAAACTAACAATGATATCTCTGATGAGGACGGTGGAATTGGAGGGACAAGACAAATTCCTTCACGGTGGCTAATACCCCTGTGTCTGACCTATCCGCAGGTCAGTCTGCTTTCAGGCACCTGAGAGGACAGGACACACACAGGCCAGAAAACTCCATGAGGCCCCCAGGACTAGCCGGACTAGCCTGGGCTCCATCCAAAGCTCAAATGGGTTCAAGTGCTCTCCTGTCTTCCTCTGCCCCTCAGCACCTCAAGGCATTAGATAGATGAGGGTGGCCACTGCACAAGCAAGGCCCCTTTCTGCCTGAGCCTGGCCTCAGAGGCCGATGTGGTTCTGTAGGGGGAGTGTAGGTAAGAGGAGGAGATGCTTTGAGGCAAGTGTGTTGGTTTGGAGTTAATGGAATGAGGGAGTGGGGAAGAGAGCAATAAGGTTTGGGATGGGGAAATAGTAGGGTACAATGTGTGGGACAGCAAAGGAGCAGGAAGCATCTATTTGAAGATAAAGATGTTGGCCAGGCCCCCGGGAGACCTGCATCATTGCATTGTGTCCATTATGCAATGACACTATAGCTGTGCTAAAAGAGCACAGTGTTATGCATCAGCATTACCAGACTAAGCACGCCACCATATTCCTAACTTACAAGAAACCAATCATCATAAAATTTAGACATTTTAAATGGCCTATCTCATTATAGTTGAATTTCTTTACAGAAACTAAAAAATGAAAATGAGATTGCAAGAGAAATAGCTTTCCAATTACCAGTAGTGAATTAATTAAATCATATTTGATTGCAGCAGCTGAAGAAATGTGTCCAGAGAAAATAAACATTGGTAGCCTTTTTTTTTTAGGCAGACTGTCATTCTCACCGAGGCTGGAGTGCAGTGGTGTGATCTTGGCTCACTGCAACCTCCACCTCCCAAGTTCAAGCAATTCTCCTGCCTCAGCCTCTTGAGTAGCTGGGATTCCAGGCATGTGCCACCACACCCGACTAATTTTTTTATTTTTAGTAGAGATGGTATTTCACCATGTTGGCCAGGCTGGTCTTGAATTCCTGACCTCAGGTAATCTGCTAGTGTTGGCCTCCCAAAGTGCTGGGATTACAGGTGTGAGCCACTGCCCCAAGCCCATTGTTAGCCTTTCAATGAGAATAACTGCTCAGAGAGTCAATTAAACAACAAGGCAAATAATTTCAAGTGGTTTTCCTTGGCTCTGAATGAATTGACAGATGTACCAATGCAGCTCGGCTATTGCTTACTGAAGGGTAACTGCCAAGTTTGAAGTGACTGAGAAATTAACCTCTATGTGTATGAAACAAACATGGATGAAAATATTTGTTAAAGAAATTGAAAAAATGCTAATTCAACACAACCTGAAAATGGAATGTGCCAAGATGTAATAAATCTGATAGTAGTGAAAATATGTGTGGGGCCAAACAAAGGCTTAGTTGAAAAAACAAAGCTTATGAAAATATAGGTGCTTAAAACCTATGATTCATCTGTGGGTACTTGGTGGAAAATATTGGAATCAATCCTGTTACCGAACCAGTAGTGTCAATGGTAAACTTCACATGGCATAATTGACTGAACCATCATCAGTTCTATGAACTTTTGTGATAAACAGAAGCTAGGTGTGCTGACTTGCCCAACCACACAGCAGTTTCATGGCTTAGCAGTGACAAGGTTTTACTGAGAACTTTAAAGTTCAAGGTCAAGATTGAAATTTTTCTGAATGAGAAAAACTGCCTTTAACTACTATTTACCAAATAACACTATAAATAAGTGAATAGCACTATAAATAAGTTTTTGCTGCAGTCTTTATGTTCCTTAATGAATTAAACCTGAAATTAAAGGGCAAAACAAAACTTATACATAGCACCTACACTGTGGTAAAGTCATGTTGGCCACAGTTTTGAATCATAAGTAATGTTAAACTGCTCTAAGAACTTCCTGAGATGTCAAAAGTTAAAACATGAAGTGAGATATCCATTCCCACACACATTTGCAGGGGGTGTCTTTTCTGAACTCAAACTGCAGTTCCAGTAGCATGTGCATTTCAGACTTCTAGGCAAGTATGAGGGGAATCTTAACATTTCTAAACATACTTATTTGGGCAATTGAGTAACAACCACCTAAACTTCAACTGGAAGTAGTTAATCAACAAATGTAGTGACATGTGTACAGGCAAATGTCAAAAGAAGAATTTAACAGAACTCTATAAATGTCTCCCAAGTGAAAATATTCTCAATCAAAGTCATATGTTCATGGATTCTATATTAGTCCATTTTTCTACTGCTATAAAGAAATACCTGAGACTGGGTAATTTATAAAGAAAAGAGGTCTAATTGGCTCATGATTCAGGCTGTACAGGAAGCATGGCAGCGTCTGCTCAGCTTCCAGGGAGACCTCAGGAAACTTACAATCATGGCAGAAGATGAAAGGAAAGCTGGCACTTCACATGGCTGGAGCAGGAGGAAGGGTGGCAGGGAGCTGCTATACTTTTAAACAACCAGATCTTATGGGAACTCACTATGGCAAGAACAGCACTGAGGAGATGGTGCTAAATCCTTCATGAAGGACCACCCCCATGCTCCAATCACCTCCCACCAGGCCCCACCTCCAACACTGAGAATTACAATTCAACCTGAGATTTGGTGGGGATACAGATCCAAACCATATCAGATTCGTATTAGTATTTGGTAGTAGCAAATATTTTACATAAAGCTTATATGTGCAAAGATGAAATACATAAAATTTATTATATATAAGCATGTGCAACTGATTTCGAAGACAGGAAACACTAACTTTCGGCCCTAATTAAACTAAACGTTGTCCCTCCCTCACCCAAAAAATGCGTTATTTTCATTAGTCCACTTGCATTACAAAACTTAATTTTTATTATATCTTTAATTTCATCAATAAAAATTTGTGGAAACTTGTTTTCTCTCTTGCTATGTAACTACATATACACATCATATCATCAATTTTGCCTCTCAGCCCATAAAGCTGGAAATGTTTACTATCTGTCTAATCCTTTACTGAGAAAGTTTGCTAACTTATTTCCCTAATGGCTAATGGTGATGAGCATCTTTGTGTGCTTAGTTGGTATCTATATATCTTCTTTTTTTTTTTTTAATTTTTTATTGGATTTTAGGTTTTGGGGTACATGAGCAGAGCATGCAAGACAGTTGCGTAGGAACACACATGGCAGTGTGCTTTTCTTTCCTTCTCCCCTTCATCCACATTTGGCATTTCTCCCCAGGCTATCCCTCCCCACCTCCCCCTCCCACTGGCCCTCCCCTTTTCCCCCCAATAGACCCCAGTGTTTAGTACTCCCCTTTCTGTGTCCATGTGTTCTCATTTTTCATCACCCGCCTATGAGTGAGAATATGCGGTGTTTCATTTTCTGTTCTTGTGTCAGTAATGTGTTTGCTCAAGTCTTTGGCCATATGTTAATGGACTGTTTATTTTATTAATGTATTCATTGAGGTTCTCCAGAGAAACAGAACCAATAGGAAATGAGATAGAAATAGAGAGATTTATCATGGGATTGGCTCACTGCAACTGTGAAGACTGAGAAGTCTCACAGTCTGCCCTCTGAAAGCTGGAGAACCAGGAAACTGGTAATTTGGCTGGAGCTGGAAGGGTAGGAAGGGGAGGAGTGCCCTCTGGTGCAAGTCCCAAAGTCTGAAGTCAGAGAAACAGGTGCTCTGTAGGAGAAGGTGAATGTCCCAGCTCAAGAAGAGAGTGAGTTCATACTTCTTCCACCTTTTTGTTCTATTCAGGCTCTCAACAAATTGGATACTGGCCACCACATTGATGAGGGCAACCTCATTGACTCAACCTACCAATTTCAATGCTAATCTCTTCCGGAAACAACCTCACAGACACACCAAGAAATTTTGTTTTACCAGCTATCTGGGCATCTTTTATCACAGTCACATTGACACATGCATTAACCATCACAATTACTAAT